CCTTCCCGGTACTGGCTTTCTTTTGCACCATTTAGTGTTGGGCATTGTTCCCAGAAATCCATAAATATTGTCAAATAAATGAGTGAAATAACCCATAGGAAACATGTTTTTTGTTTTTTTTTTTTGTGTGTGAGAAAGTAGAACTAGTGGCATTTGTAGTACTCTTCCTAAAATTTGGGGGAGTCGTTTTCCCAATGTGTTCAATAAAACTCTAGTAAACATATCTCCTTAGGAGGACACCATTAGTACAATGTTTGATTTGAAGATGTGATATCTAGTTACATTCTTTTTGTACTAGCCAGTAATCAAATTGGGCCCATAGTGGCTTTATTCACATCTCTTGTCCTTGGAAACAGCCTTTGGAAAAAAGCTAGTTATATTTTGTATTGTTTCCTGTCTTACCCATGATAAGTAAAAGATGTTTGTATTTGCAATTAATGTACTCTTTACCATTAACTAATGAACATGCTTTATAGTTCTTTCTGGCCAGGGTGATAGCTCAGTGGAATAAGTGTTTGCCTGGCAAGCACAGGTCCTAAGTTTGATCCCTAGTACCTCCCTCCCCCAAAAATAAATAAATAAAAATAAAAAAAATCTATCTATCTATCTATCTACCTACCTACCTACCTACCTACCTACCTATTTATAGTTGTTTCTCATCAATCATTCATTTGTGCCTATTTTTTCCTTCCTCCTCTGTTTTTTCTTTCTTTTTGAGACATGGTCTCTCTATGTAGTCCAGGTTGGCACTGAGCTTTTTATCCTCTTGTCTTAACCTGCTGAATGCTAGGGTTACATGGATGTATCACAGTTTTCAGTTTATATATATCTTTTCCTGTAAGTTCAGGTGACTCTTTATGACCAGTGATCAGTGCTATAAGTTTATTTATAGATTAACATATATTGCAGAAATTGAGATCCTTTTGTGAACAGGGGAAATTAGAGTCATGGGATTAAATCTGTGACTTCATTTACAACTTTTTCTTGGTGAATGATAAGGGAAAGGGTGGGATACATTAATGTAGTTATAAAAAAGTAACTGACTTTCTAATAACTTCAAAATATACCCATGTATATATCTTAATATTTATCAAAAATTTTAACAAAATCTTAATTAGTTGATACTTGGAGAAATTCATTCTTCATACTTGTGTGAAAAATTTAGCATGTTCAGTCTTTAGTGTTGGTTTATCAGCTACTTTTTATGAAAAGTAACAGTTTACTATCAAACGTTCTTTGACCATTTTATGTCTCTGTCTTAAATGTGTAGATAGGTCTCCAGGAGTCTATTATCTCAGACCAGTTCCTTAAGAGGTGGCAATGTGTGTGTGGGGTTGAGTGGGGGACTTAATTTTGGAAGAGTTTGGCATTGTAGGAAGGTTATTGAAATAGTGGTAGCTAGAAGCTGGAAAGGGATTCACGGGGACAAGGTTCATAGTGTAACAGATGAGCAACCTTTTAGACTCAGTGTAAGGAGGCAAGAGAATAGAATCAAATCCAGGATCTGAAGGCATCAAATGGTCTTTATCTGGTAGAGGTGACAATCCTTAAATGGCTCACAGATTTTAAAAATTACCTTGATGTTTAATTCAGCTTTAGCTTTAAAGTCTGTACTGTGATGCACATTTACTTGGTTTAGATTTTAATGTGACAATTGGCTAAGAGAAAAAACAAAATAATATGGAATAGAGAATATACTTGACAAAATGCAATAAAACTGTCGAATGACCATTTAGTGAATTGACTATACCCTTTAAAAAGGTAACAGAGGTAGGTTATAGCGTATGGGTAGAGTGTTTTCCCAGCATACACAAGTTCTCATCTTTGATACCAGCTCCACAAAACTAAAGAAAATAAAAATTACTATGAAATATATTAAATTACTATTTTAGGCAAACATAAGACTGATGAACTGTACACTTCATTAAAATAGGTAAGTTATACAAGGAAAAAATAAAGAGGAAGGTTAGAGGATATGAAAAATACTGGCTTACAGCATTAGTCTCACCTGTTGAGAGGAAAATTTGTCACAGAAGAGGAGCAAATTTTTATAGAGGATACTATTGGACCTCTGTATCTGAGGGTTGCCTCTTGGTGAATTCAGTCAACTGTGGATCTAAAGCTGTTTGAAAGAAAAAATTGCTTTTGTACTGAACATGTTCCAGACTTTTTTCTATTTCTTTATTTCATATACAATAAACAGCTACTTATAAAGCATTTATATTGTATGAGGTATAAGTGATAGAGAATGTGTGTTGGCTTGATTGTCCAGAGTGTCCATGGGTTTTTTGTATTCATGGGAGTCCTGGAACCAGCTCATCATGTGTGTTGAGAAAAGCTGTACATAGTTTTATGAAATGATCCATGTTAAGTTAATTTAGGAGGAAAAATGGGTCAGAAAAGTAGAGGCAAACTGGGAATTGTTTATTTAAAAAAATTGAGGATTTAATTATTTGTTCATTTTTAACTTATTAGATCTAAGGACTATTTTAGAAACTTTACTCAACTCTTCTGTAATTTTTTTCTTTAAAGATTAAAATTGAACTCTGAAAGGGGAGTAGTCTGGCCACTGATATGTACCTGTTAGCTCAACTTTTACATTTTCTTCCTGTGCTAGATGGTGTAAAAAATGCTTTGGAAAAACAGCTGCCAAAATTGTACCACAGAAAATTTCTCAGTATCACAACATACATACATGTGAATTGTTAAATAGACTCAATATTAGCAGACATGTCAGGTATGTATCATAGCAATGGCAGGATCTGCAGGGTCCTCTGTTAGGTCCACACTTTTTTTTCCCTTTCTGATAGAGTTCCAATTTTAGAGCAGAAGTGTGTCTAGCTAAAACCTTTATATCGTATTTCCCTGATTGTACAACCAACTCTTATACTAAGTTTTGCTCTAAAAGAAACAATAGAGCTTGCTTTTGAGGGTTATTTTTTTCATGTACAACAATCTACATTTATTCATATGTAACCATCTACATTTATTTATTTATTCATGTACAAAACTTACATTTATTCATGTGCAAAAGTCTATACTTACTCAAATATAGTCATGTCATCTTCTTCTGAAACAACTGTCCAAACCCTGACAACTCTCCAAACAGTATTCCAAAACCCCTGAATTCTAGCCTGAATTTCTTGTGACTCCTTTTCCACTGGTCCCAGTTTCTCATGTCCAGCCATGAGAGTTCTCTTTAGTTTTTGTCCCTAGAGACTGCTATAGGGTCATCTGTATTGGTTGAGGGCCGGACTCTTCACTATTCTTTACACTAATGTTCGTGGTGAAATTGTTTTGTTTCTTTTTTCTTTTTTTTTCTTCTATAATTAGGACAGGGTCTACAGGGTCTCACTACATAGATCAGACTCCTAGTGATCCGCCTGTGTTCAGCCTCCCAAGAGCTGGGATTACAGGCGGGCGCCAGCACGCCCAGTCTCAGTCTCAGGGCATGTGGGGGATTAAGCCCCAGCCGCTGCACTCTGCCTAAGCAGCCACTTTAGTTCACTGAGCTATCAGACTGGCCCTGTTTTCTTTTTTAAAAAAATATTCATGTGTGATAGATAAAGCAAAAGTGAAAAGATCATATATATATGGCTCTGACTTCACGAAGTGAACACATCTGTGTAACTCAGTATTTGATTAGGATCAAAGGAAGCTTTTCGGTTGCCTTTGTGGGTTTAATTTATAGACTTCTAACATATAGATTAGTATTTGCCTGTGTCTATATGTATGGTATTGTACAGCATCCACACTTTTGTATTTGGTTTCTTTTGCTCAGCAGTCTGTAAGAATTATATTGTTATATATAACTATATAGTATTGACACTGCTCTATAGTATTCTATTATGTGAATACAGTATATCCAAAGTTATCTACTGTTGGTGGATAGTTTGTTTCCAGTTTTTGGTGGTTACATGTCTTTGGTAAACATGTAAACATTCTGTTGTATATATATTTTGGAGTGGAATTTCTGGATTATGCTTTCTGCTGGTGTTTTTAACCTAGTCTCATTCTGGTGGGTATATTTTGTGAAGGTAGCAGGCATGTCTTTTGTCCATGTTTCTGTTGAGTTGGTTGTCATTTGTAAATGTTAATAGTTATTTTCCGTACTTTTTTTTAGTGCCGGGGATGGTTTGGACTCAGGGTTTCACACGTTAGGTAAGCACTCTACCATTGAGTTGAATTACACATCCAGCTCTGGATTCTAATTTTTCTCAAATATTTGCATTATGAACTTACTTTCCTACTCTCTGGAGTACTCTTCACTAAGTAATTTTTGCAACCTAGATCTAATAATAGTCTGTTACGATTTCCTTTATGGTCATTGTTTTCTGTATACTTTAAAAAGTCTTTGCAGCTCCTCACCCAGGGCATGCTGAGAGGGCGGTTGAGACTAGATATGGTGGCGCACGCCTGTAATCCCAGAGTTTGGGAGGCTGAAAACAGGAGGATCACTATGAGTCCGATCTGTTTAGTGAGACCCTGTAGACCCTGTACTACATACATAAAAAGAAATTCTTTGCATACTCTTACGTCGTAAAGATGGTCTTTTTTAGTGTCTGCTATACAAGTGTCATTGTTTTTAAATCTGCATTCTTTCTGGAATTGTTTTTAGTGTAGGCTGTGAGATGAGGGTCACAATACATTTTTTCTACCAGATGGGTTATCTAATTGAGTCAGCACCAGTTATTAGAAAGATTGTCCTTTCTTCATTTTACTGCAGTGTCAGCTTTGTTGTAAATCAGATGACCAAATATGTGTGGATTGTTTCTATACTCTGTTTTATTCTGTTTATTAGTTTTTCTGCCTATTTCCTAATGCTACATTATTTCACTTATTATAGGTTAATGCCAGTTTTTATTAAATGTTAGTGTTAAGTTTTCTGTCTGTTATGCTATTTAAAAGGGCCTTAGCCCTCTTGGGGATTGTTCACTGGTTAAATGGAATTATATTCATTTTGTACACTTCTGACTTTTATAATACAATCCCTCAGCCAGCTCACTGACGTAACAGCATTAATCTACTTAGCCATCACAGAAGCCAGTTGGGGCAAGGTCTGTAACCTTTTAATAGAGTTTCAGATTTGTTGAATAAATTGAAAATAATTTCTTGATGCAGATGATACATCACATTTAAAATCAGTGTTCACTTCCAGCACAAATCACTGTAGTATGCAGTAATCAAATATTTAGTTTAAATGTGTGTATTTAGCGGGCCTGGCTCTAGCTCAGTTCTTTAAGTGGCTGCTTCCGCAAAGCTGTCAGCCTCAGCTTATTCTAGTTCGATCCCCACAACCCTCCAGCCAGCCAAAAGTGCCCTGAAGGCATTCCAGGAGAAAAAAAAAAAAAAATCCTTATTTGGGCTGGAGAGATGGCTCAGTGGTCTAAAGCACCTACTTGGAACAAGCTTGGCAAAGCACAGGGACCGCGGTTCAATCCTCCAGCACCACATGCCAGCCAGCCGCGCCCCCTGGTGGGCTGAGCTGGCCACACACACACACACACACACACACACACAATAAAAAATGTTAAAAAAATAAATAAATAAATGTGTGTATTTAATTGCACTGATCTGAATTTTCTCACGTGAGAGTGGTCAGCTGTTTGTATGACATTATGGCCAGCTCAGTAGATACACTGTTAGGGAGTTAGTGTACTTCAAAAACATGAAGCAGGAATAGTGACTGAGTCCAAAGAGAAATGAGTTATCTTTATATGACATTTGAAGGCACTGATCTTTGTTAGTAGCAGCTTGATTTTGTCACTCTGAAGTTGTTCCTTCGCAGGAACCTGCCTGCCTTCTCCTTTCCATTTCGTGTTCATTCAGTTGGGGGATATAATAAAGTTTTAAATTAAAAGTTACAGTTTATTTTGAAGCTCACCCTTTGTGACTTCTTTTCTTTGGGAAATGGAGACTAGGAAGCGTGAAGGGAAGTAGGGAGCCTTCTGGACACAGTGATCTCATATTCCAGATTACCACATGACACATGCCATCATGTGTGGTACATTATTTGAGATTCAGAATAACTTGGTGAATTAAAAAAAATATGTGATCACTAGAGCAGCTTAGAGGAACTTTTCTACTTTTTAAAACAGGAGACCAAACCATCAGATATTTGTGTTCATCTTGGCTACATGATGGCTTTTTCTCCCCTTTGAGTTAGTAAGTGGTGAGTTACAAGGCAAGGCTTCATGCTTGATGCAGAAATTTTAACTGAAAGTGAGTCAGGCATATGAACCTTTAATTATACCTATTTTAATCATGACTAACAAATAGACCATTTCATTTATGATTAATTTATGTGGATTTATACTAGAACAGTTAAAAAATCACATGAGTATAACTTACTTCAGTTAGATTAACTAACAACCTGGCACAGCCTGTTCATACAACTATATTGTGGACAGAGGTTTTTTCATTTTTCGTGTTAACAGATCTGGTAAATGTTTTCTGCCTGAAGATCTTGGAAACAGCATGTACTGAAAGTATTTATTGAATGTGTATTGTGATTTCACACACTGTGTAAGCACTGGGAATAAAAAGGTGAGCAAAGTAGCTATGATTCGTGGTGCACAGCAGTTTCCAATGAGAGATGGGTTCCTCGGGTTTATAACACATGTTGCCCTTGGTGAATTTGTTTTCTTGTAACCATATAGTACTCACCTCCCCTGAGCACAGGGGATACCTTCCTAGAGTCACAAGGATGTTCAAAGCCTGGGATAGCCCCTGACCCTGTATTTATTCTTTTTCCTATACATACATACACACATACATACATGCATACAGTAAAGTCTAACTTATGAACTAGGCCATGAGGAATTAATAACAGTGACTAAAAGTAAAAGAAACATTTTTTAATTTTTATTTTTTGAGAAACATAAGATTATGCTGTAATAGAAGTTTTGTAAATATGATCTCAGAGTCTCTATAGTACTCACTCTTCTTGTGATGATGTGAGCTGATAACAATGTCACTATGCTGAGATAAAGGGGACATGAATGAGGTAGGTACTATGATACAGCAATGTAGTGATAGGCCATGACTTAATGATTCATTAACACAAGTATTGCAACATTGTGACAGCCTATCAGGTAAGTGAGATGACTACTGAGTAAGTAATGGATGGGCAGCAGGAACTTTGGGCGATAGGAATAATTTCTGCCCTACAGTATTCTATAGAATACTATAGCAGCCTGAGATTTCATCATATAAATCAGAGCAGGGTGCAGTGTAAAATACAGGAATTTTTTATTTCTAGAAATTTCCATTTGATATTTTAGGACCATCCTTTGTAGGTAGTAATTGAAACCACGGAAAGTAAAACCATGGATATAGGAGGAGTGCTGTAGTTTTTGGTTGCTCTATAAAGATTTAAGTTTTCTAATTTATACAACATTACTTATACACTGTGTTAGTATCAAATTTTCATGTATTTTGAGTTGTTTTTCTCAACATATACTTTAGTTAATAGTGCATAACCTAGCTGAATTTAGCCTTTTACATTCTTCTGCAAATCATATTCTATGAAAATATTATGTGAGTGTTTATGAGTGCTTGTGGAAACAAAAGTATATAAAAGCCATGTGCACCGTAAGATTCTTATATATCATGCTTTCTATCTACCGGTCTTTTCATTTGTTTCGGAAAGTAGTGAGGATATGTATATTTACCTGTCCATACATTGTGGCCACATTTAGTAGCATAAATTATTTCTTTATTTATATTCATGATTGATCTACTTAATTATCACTAAGTCTCCCTTTAAGAAGCAATACAAGAAGATACTGGAGTGTAGCTCAGTGGTAAAGTGTTTGCCTACCATGAGTTCCAGCCCCAGCATTGCAAATACAAAAGCAAACCAAATAAATCAAAAGGAGAGAAGAAATGCAAGGTGGAAGCAGGAGTGGATCTCTGTTTGCCAATCTCTTCCTGCAGAGCATACCTGCTCTCATTTTATTTATGTAGTTACACTTTTACACCTTGCCAAACACCATTAAATTTGTCTGCTTTACTTTATCTCCACTCCTATTATCCTAGTTCTGATATTCTGTTTGTTCCAGTTCAGCAGCCTCTTTATTGCTCTCTTTTCCAAAACTTAATCCTATTCCAGTTAGTTCTTCCTTTTTTTTATTTTCTGTTTCCTTGTCCCTATTTTCTTCAAGACAAGGTCTTGCTATGTTACTCATGATACACCTGAAGTCCTAGCCTCAAGTGATACTCCTGCCTCAGCCTCTCCAGTAGATGGGAATTACAAGATTATGCCACTATATTAGTTGGAAATGGCTAATTTCTGCTGGTGATCATTGTTCAGCTCAGTTCAGCAAATGAATTTGAATCCAAGGATAGAAGTTGGCAGTTGAAGTATTAGGTGAAAACTTCAGCATAGGTGTCCTGAGAATAGTGTAGTTGGCAAAGACATCATCTTAATTAGTTCAGGAGAAGGTAATTAGTTGGCCATTGTTGCCTCTTAGCCAGCTTTTGGACTGTAGGTCTTAGTGGAGTTTGTGTTCTTCCATTTTGAAAGATTAGAGCGGACTTAAAGAAGCTGTTAAACCGGAGATAGATCAATTAGTCTAAGTGATAGTAAAGTTGTTAAAGATGATAAACTGTAGATGAGGAGTTTGAGTGTTTCTAACGCATGCACTGCTTCCTTTTTCCTGGTGGTGACAATACAAGTCTGAGGCATCATTATATTGGCTCCTTTGTGGTCATGGTGCTTTGTTGTTTTTAATCTTTAGTATTCATTGATGATAGTTTGGTTTTAATTTATAGTTGGGTGTGGTGGCATATGCCTGTAATCCCAGCACTCTGGGAGGGCTGGGGGGGGGGGGAGTTGGAGCCTGCATAATTTAATGGTCTAGCAAGACTCTTCCTGATGTAGTTCAGTGCAGAGGCCCTGTGTCCAGTCCCCAGTAACACACATTCAGTGTTGATCATTGGGCAAACTTCTGTAAAATGTGATTTGCTAATATTAGAGGGTTTAATAGCATTTAAATATTATGCCTAAGCACATTGATGTAGCTTTGTGTTTTCATGAATACATTTTCAAGTGTTCTGCTTATTTTTACAGATTTACCACTTTTTATGTTTAGTTCTTAGTGAAACTATTCTAAAATTTTTATGATGTAGGCTGGTGAAGAATGACTCATTTAATAGAATTGTATTTCACAGTGGAGGTTACCGGAGCATCTCGTATTTCACTGAAGGAAATTGCCAAGAAAGGAAGAGTCTTTATACAAGGAAGAGCTAAGGACATCCTGGCCAACTTCCTAACCTTGTAACTGTCACCTTTGGAGGTGTTTAGTAGCACCTCAATCAAGATAGGATTAGTTTACTTGTCCTGTGTATTAAAATTCTCTTAAATAGTACTTAAGAAATCACAACTTGCTAATTTGAAGTACTTTTTGGATTTTAGCCATATTCAAGGCTGTGTTTTAGTATTCAGTTGTAACTTTTGAACATCTGGTACTTTGATAAGTAACTCTTTAAAAGACAAAAGTAATGTAGTTCATATACTGCGGGTATATTAAATGGTGTGATTTTTCCGAATGGCAAGGTAAGTGTGTATATCAAGAACCTAGAAATGTTACTTTTGGCCTAGTGCCTGTTTTAGGATTTTGTGTGTAAAACATGCAAAAATGGTTTGGGATGTAGCTCAGTGGGAGGGTATTTGTCCAGCATGTGTCCAGCCCTGGATTCAGTCCCCAGTGTCACAGAAACAAAACATAACAACAAAAACCAAAAAACCCCAAAACGAACAAACAAACAAAAAAACAAAACCCACTTCACTATAAGACATAGTTTTATGTAGGTAGGAGTTCAGATAATTCTGATTTGCTGTGTATTTTTCTGTCTTTTCTACATTTTTGGCAATGAATAAACATAGTTGTTATACACAGAAAGTGCAGTGTTTTTTTTTTTGGGGGGGTGGAGGGTGGGGGAAGGGAGTGTTGGGGATTGAGCCCAGGGCCTCTCACATGGTAAGCATAAACTCAGTCACCTAGCTGCACCCCTACCCTCAAGTTATTTATTTATTTTTTTATTTATTCCCCCA